AAATGGATCAATGTATACATGAAACCACTCGGTAGTCTTTCGTTTAATTTCACGAACAAACTTTTCAATGCGAGTTCACTGATTAAGATAAAGAAATTAAACAATAAATTAAGCTTAGTTAAAACATTTCAAAACTACGGAAACACAGTTTTCAACAAAACAAAGTTTTACAAGATTTGTTAACTATTGCAAAAACATTCGAATTGATTGACAATCAAATAAAAACACTCGAGCTGATGGACAATCAAACAAAAACAATCGAGCTGATGGACAATCAAACAAAAACATTCGAGCTGATTGACAATCAAATAAAAGAACTTAAAAAAATAACGATAAAACTAATCGAAATAAATACAGTAAAGAAAATAAAACTACCACCACCCAGCAAAGCACCACATGAAATAGAAACGTTGCTAAAAATGTTATTAATGCAGGAACTAATTTCCACACACCTTTATATGTTTTGCTTTGGAAATCCTTGCTACTCTTGCGGGAAAATTGGGCATTTTGCAGCTGTCTGTAGAAGTAAAAACAAAACGAACTAAATACAACAACACATCACAAGATATACTAAAAAAAGGAAAAGTTTATACAAAACCATTAAATACAATTAACAAAGATATCAACGAATCAAATATTCTCATTCAGAGTTAAACAAAGGAGACTTGTACTCTGTGAATGCTAAAAAGATAACTAATGACGCAGTCGAAAACTTCGAAGTAACGATTAACATAGAAAATATAATTTTATATGTTACTATTAAACTATTAAACAAAGACCAAGGAGAACAAAAGAAAGTACAAAATAACTATGACAACAGGTAACAACAAATTCTCCATTCTTTGCAGAAACGAGCTAAAAACTTGTGTAGAAATGCAAGCCGCTAACAAAGCTATTAAAAGAACGCTTTTTCCAGCTCAAAATCTTGATAAGCTTATTTTAAAACTAAAAGACTTGGCCATTTTCTCAAAACTATTTTTAATAAAGATATTTCACCAGCTCGTACTTGCGCCGGAATCAAGATCAATAACTACTTTTCCATCCGAAACTCAAATCAAACGTTTTACAAGACCCTTTACGAAACCTTCTCTATAAAAATTCATCATGGAACTGGAGTGCCAGCATGCATTTGACTAACTAAAAAACGATATCACATCAGACTCATGCATTGGAGACTGCGATCGGAACAAAAAGATGGCATCCTTCACCGATGCAATTCTTGTAGGCATATCGGCAGATATTGTACAAAACACGCCAAATAAACAAGACTTTATCATAATATCTTATAATTCGAAAAGTGCTATCGCCTGTATAACAACGCTACTCTACGCTCTAAAGAAAATGTTTATCTTTAGTATACGCGTGCGACTACAAAAAATGTACTTGTTTAGACACTCTTTAAAAATGTATAGCGATCACGATGCTATTTTAATGACTTTAAACAATCTAAATGTTGTCCAAGAAAAAATAATATAACTAATTATTGTAGTCGATAGCCTGTAGACCTTTGTGACGACAATGGGTTAGAAAAATGTTAATTTTACGGTATAATACGCATGCCCTAAAGATTTCACTTCTAGATATTCAACGAGAAACCAAAGCCGATCCTATTCTACGAATACTTACAGAGTTAGTTACTTCTAATATCTAGCATAAACTATTACATTGTTCTCTGGAAATAATAAAAAATTCCCCAAAAATCACTTGCTAACCGCAATATTCGCCAAAAACTTACAGTAAATCAAACTTCAAACGTTATCCTAAAACCAAATTGAATTGTAATTCCGCGTTAATTGGAAATAAAGGTTATACAACTTACGCAGAAAAGCGTCACATGGAATTCGAGAAAACCATATCACTACTTAGACAGAAAGTTCACTTTCCTGGTATAGATACTAAAGTAGGGCAATATATCAAACGACGTGCAATTTGTCAAGCGCTTAGTAAACAAAATACACCAGCCGAAATATTATTCATACCAACACCAGGGAAAGTTTAATACACCGTTAATATAGATTACCTTGGTCCTTTACCAAACAAATTTTATTTGGTAATTCTCGTAAACCAAGCATCAAATATTTCAAATAATACAACTGCTGACGTTTTGTTAAAACAATTATAACAATTTTCAGTTAAAATGTACCACTTTTTACTTTATTCAAGAAAATGACGTTTTTTAACAAGCTGAATATTAAACACAAACAAATCATGACGCTTTGGCTCCAAGCAAATTCACAAGCCAAATCTTTTATAAAAACTAATTAAAATAATATACGAGTAGCAAAACATTGAACAAAGAGACTGTGAAAAAGAATTTTTACAACTTCATGTTCTCCTATCGTACCATTCTCAACTACTATGAAATAACAACTACTATGTCAACACAACAAAGAAGCTATTATAAAGAAACAAATACAAAGACATACCCGAACAGAGAACACAAAAGTATTTATTTAGAATAATAAGTTATTTATCTATTTTTTTAAATGTACTCTTATCTATTTTTTTAAATGTACTCACTACTCTTAATTTTACTCTTGTCCTCGGCCTATACCTGATACCGAATGGTTATGGCTTTAAGGCTGTACAATCGAGTACAGTAATACCTATTTCAAGCTAAAGCAATAAAGTAAAGAAAAGAAGAAGCAAAGAAAACAGAAAGACAGGTACAACAACTGGGAAAACAATAGTTTGACCTATTACTGAGGCGAAACAACTGCTGGTGGTACAACAGGCAGAACTACTACTGGCGGAACAACGGGCGAAACGTCTAATGATAGAAAAAACTGTGGGAACAGCTTCTGGTGTTACAACCAGAACAATAGCGGCTGATGTAGCATGAAGAAAAAATAAAACACAAAAAACATCGTGTTGATAGCTAGAGGTGATACCTAGATATATGGTATTTCTTAAAGAGATGCACCACTACAAACTAGATAACTTATCAAACTGACCATTCTAAAGTGCATAATGATCTCCTACTAGTAAGAATTCAGCTTAAGCGCAATGGAGTTCAATTTAAGCGCCATTGGAGCCTTTTAATTAAGTAAACTTTTAAGTATGATGTGCAAGTTATTTATACTTGTTATACAAATTATTTTATTCTTGAAAATGATTGCGAATATGATGTCTGAAATAAGCTATAAAAAGGTTTAAAGTACAGATATGATCAGATTTCTTCTATCTGAGCATGATCAATATTATTGCTATTTTCTAATATCTTACTAAAATAAATCTTTTTTTTTTATGAAGACTCGGGCCACTCTCTAGTTGGTGGTAAAATACTACGTTGGATCCACAAAGAGTATATAATATTCCGTCCGCTCATTCCATTTTGGCTAGCGGTAATTTGCGCATATCTAACCCTGGTTTTGTGATACAGTCGTTAATAATCAAAATAGACTCTAAGTCTATCATCACTTTTCTCAAATTTTCTCAAGAACTTTCTGATACCAAACTGTTCAACTTAGGCTGTTAATTTCATAAAAAAGTTTTGCTTACAAATATGAGATGATTTTAAAAAGTCTTGTTTTACTCCATCGTGGGGAAAATCAGAAACACGATAGCTTTGAGTTGGTGGTCTAGCAGACAAAACACTAGATCTTTATTTCCTAAGCCGGTTTTCTTAATGTACAGAAGATAATCATTGATCAAAAATTGACCACAATGCAACTCATAAGATTTATATAAAATAATTAAAAAAATAAATAAATTGCAGTTATATTAATTAGTGCTTAACAAATAATGATTAAAGATCATCAAATGGTTCATCAAATGATCTACAGGTTCATTAAGATTCTTAAGATCCGAGTATGAGTTGAGATAATGTTTCAAATGTTTAAATTGTATAAGCTAAATTTTAAAAATTGAATTAATGAAAATATGTTTCCGAGCTGTATCCAATATTTGAAATGAATTTAAAATTCAGACCAACTGCAAGTGCTAAAAATCTGTAAAGGTACACCTCCATGCTAAAAGTTATAGGCTACCACAAACAAATACGGATCACTTTCATCATCATGCTCACGATAACTCACGATAACTATTGAAAAACGAAAACTTTTGTTTGATAAGTTTCAAAACAAGTTTTATACAGTTACAGCTATGTAAAAGTTTGTTGTAATGAACAAGCTGATGTTCCTGAGAATAGCTTTAATTAATAAATAAGGTGTTCCAAATTTAGGCAAAAGTTAACAAGCTTAACAAGCGTATATAATCAAACATCTTTTGTTAAGGTAACAAAAAGATGTTATGTCACATCTGTGATTTGCTTTAGGTGAATATATTTATTTCAAAACCGATGTAGCGCTACTGGATGATGTTTTTGACAAATTCAAGGACACTTGGTTGCAATACTACAGTCGCTGGTTGATGCTAAAGCCGACTTTTCGACGCTAACACCGACTCTTCAGTTTTAATATGGAACCAATTTACTAGAATTTCTGTTTTGACCGACTACTTCGTGTGAATAATTTAAAGCTGACTTCAGCAACATTGACTGTTAATTAAGACAAAAGATAGAACCGACTCCTGCACAACCGACCATTTTAAAAGACTTCATTTACAGCCGACCAATCAATTACCTAAATTATAAACTTAATATTTTGTTGCAAATTTTTAACCTTTTATTTTTTCTACAGGACAATAAGTCATTTTTAAACAATTTAAGTTTGAGATACCATGACTTTGAATCAAAGAAAGTTGAATATCTTCTTTGCATTTGACTATTTTTGTTGTTGTTTTGTATTTTTATGTTGTTGTTTACTATTATACGTTATAAAAAAAATAAAAAAAATTGAACACATTGCAATGTATTTTTAAAATGCACTTACAATAGCAGTGGCGTTTTAAAAGTTTTCTTTTTAAAAAAAATTCATAAAACAAAAATCAGCAAAGACAACAAATTGTTCTCTTTGAAACATTTCCCTGCAAAAAACGAATGGAGTTTAAAAAAGTTTAATGTGATCGTCGATATAATATTGTGTACCGATCAGGTGATTATGGCTATATCAAGTATAAAGCCAAAGCCAATGGACAAATTTACTTGAAATATAAGTATCATAGTGTCTGTAAAGGTAGTGCCAAAATAGACCCTGATATCATTTATGTGGTTCTTCTGTTCATTACAACAAGTACCTAAAAGCCCAAGAGAAGATGCGTGAAGCTGCCTCAACAATCCAACGGTCTCTCAAGCAAATCTAACAAAATGCTATTTTAAACTCATCACTTCATGTGCAACAGTCTCTTACATATGCTAAAGTTATTCAGGTACATTAATCACTTTTATGACTTTACTGTTAAGCAGTTTTACACCAACAAAACGAGGGGGGAGAAACGTGCCCCCGGCCCCTCTCTCGTGTTGTTGGCCCTGTATTTGGGTTACCAGACTTCCTCAATTTAAAATATGTTTATATATATACAAATATATATATATATATATATATATATATATATATATATATATATATATATATATATATATATATATATATATATATATATATATATATATATATATATAGATTTTATATATATATATATATATATATATATATATATATATATAGATTATATATATATATATATATATATATATATATATATATATATATATATATATATATATATATATATATATATATATATATATATATATATATATATATATATATATATCATGGGCGCCCGCAAGGAAGGGGGGGCAAGAGGGGCACTTGCCCCCCTCCCTGTATTTTCTAAATATAGAAAAAAAATTTCTTGTTTGTAACGTTCTTCATGCCATAAAGTTTGTTAATAAATTTTTCTGTAAAAAATATCTTTTAGTGATACTTCGTTACAGTTTCGGAAAAAACCTAATTAAGTTTTTTCCGAAATAATTAATTGCTTATTTGTATGACAAACACGATATTTTTCAATCTTAGTATGTTTCGTAGTTTACACACTACATTTTCAAAAGATAAAATTACAATTTAAACTCTGGAATAGAAAATCAAAATTTGAAGACATTACAGAGATCTGTAATTTTATATTGCAGAGTTTTAATTGTAATTTTATCTTTTGAAAATGTTGTGTGTAAATTACGAAACATGTTAAAATTGAAAAAATTTTCAATCTTAACATGTTTTTCTTACAAATAATTTCACATTTATTGCTATTGCATTTGCTCAAGTAATTTTTATTTAAATATTTAACGTAATATTTTAGCGCCTATTCTGTAAAATACCAAAAGCGAACACCGAGAATATTCGTTCCGAGAATTAAAGAACTTCACCGAGTTTAGGGTGCACCGTGTACAGGTCCGCCACAATTTTTTAAAAACTAAATTTGTGTTATGTAAAATCTTAAGCAAAAAAGTTATTTAAAAAAAACTTTGATGGTACTCAGCGCGCGAGAGTTTTTTTCAAACTGTTAACAACGTTTTTTCAAACTATTAACAACGTGAAATAGAAGCGTAAATTTTGTATTCATAAAGTCGATTTTTTTAGAAGCACAAGGGATTGTGGAATTGATATCGGACAAACATTGCACAGAAACAATAGATTTTTTTAAAACGCAAGTCGTTATGGGATTGATATTTGGACAAACAATTTGACCTTTCCAAAACTGTACACGTTGTTCGCACTTTAGTTGTTTACTTTAATAGTGAGTTTTCTATTTAAAACGGGAAAGAATTCTTTAAAAATTACTGTATTAAAGTAAGTAAATATTTCTTTCCCTTTTTAATTTTTAGAATTGAAGAGTGTTTTTCTAAAAGGAGCTAAGTAACATTTTTATTGTTTTGAAAAAAATAAAAATAAAAAGTTATCGGGCGAATTATTTTTTGAACACCAATAGTTTTGTAATCGTAAATAAAAATGATGAAAAATGTTTTTATTCATACTAACATAGTTAGGTTTGCACCTTTTTCAATAAAAAATCCGAATGTTAAAAAACTCAATTTTAGAAAAAATGGACTCCCTTTTAGAAATGCGCTCCTTAATTTCTGGTTTCTTTTTCAGAACTTTTTATCTTCACATAAAAAAGTATGGTTTTAATGTAATGAAAATTTATTGTAAATCCTTCTTTTTTTTTACTTTTAGGTGCCATAGATATTCGGAAATTTTTAAAACCTGTCAGACAGCAGTCGACATCTGATAAAGAAACAACTTCAACTAATGACTGCAAAAAACCGAAAACGGATAATGTAGCTTGTTTATCATTATCGACAACACCCGAACCAGAAACTGAAAAACTTGAAAGTGGAGGTTCTAGATTAGAATATGACATTGGACTTTATGTAAAATGTTCTGCAAAAATACCTATTGATTTTAAGTATCGCTTGCTAACTGATCCCTACAAGCCTCATTCGTCCTACGATTTTAAAGGGGACATTTCTGTAATCGGAAAACGTTGTTTCAGGAGTTCTTGGCTCAGTATACTCCATGGTTATCATATTCACCTAAATTAAAAGGTGCTTTTTGCGTATTTTGTGTTTTATTTCCACAACCAGTTCAAAGAGGATTTCAAGGTGCCTTCATTACTTATCCTTTCACAAAGTATAAACATTTTAATGAATGTGCCAAAAACCATATCAGCTCAGCATGGCATCGTGGAGCTCAACAAGATGCTGAACACTTTGCATTAACAATACGAGATCCAAATAAAAATATTATTTGTCAGATAGATAATTCAGTAAAACGAGTTATTGAAGAAAACAAAAAGAAGCTGTATCCTATTATCTCTACGATCCTATTTTGCGGAACAAATGATTTGGCATTACGTGGGAAAAATAGTAATAAAGGAAATGTCCGACAACTTGATGAGTATAGGATTGAGGGAGGAGACAGTATTTTAAAAAACCACTTTGATACAGCTGCTGCAAATGCACGTTACACATCACATCGAACACAAAATGATTTAATCAACTTTTCTGAACAAGCTCTGCGAGAAGACATTGTAAAAGCTGCCAACAATGCTGTTGGATTCTCGATCATTGTCGATGAAACAGCAGATATTTCAGGAACTGAACAGTTATCACTGGGAGTGCGGTTTGTTGATACATTTAGTGAGAAAGCTATCATTCGTGAAGAATTTCTTGGATTTTCACCGCTAAAAGATATGGATGCTGTCACAATATCTGATTGTATTACTCAAAGTTGCAAAACATTTGGTCTTCTCCTTAATAATCTGCTGGGTCAAGGTTATGATGGGTGCTTTACGATGGCTGGAAAAGAAAACGGTGTTCAGACAAAAATTCAAAGGATTTACCCTAAAGCTGCCTTTGTTCACTGTGCCTCACATAGACTTAATTTTGTAGTAGATGATCTAAATGATGTTGCAGTTATACGAAATACTATTGGAACTATTAAAGCAATTATTTCGTTTTTTCGTGAAAGTCCAAAGAGGAGATCTTCTGTTCCAAATATTCCCCTTCTATGTGAGACAAGATGGACAAGCAAGTATAAAAGTATTTGAATTTTTTGTAGTAAATTTAAAGATATTTTTTTCCAACTGGAAGAATTTTCAATGCATGCAAATGGATGTACTCGACAAGTTGCACATCAGCTTTATTGTTCATCAAAGTCCAGCACATTTATATTTTGTTTCCATATCATTTCGCAATACTCTGCCATACTTGAACCAGTTACTCAGGCTCTTCAAGCTGTTCAAGTTGATCTTCCAGAAGTCCAACTGCAAATTCAAAAAATTACTTAATGTTGCAAAACTTCACAGAGGTGAGTCCAATATTTATTTCAAGGATATTTTTGAGAAAACAGCGCAATTGGCACAGAAGATGAATATTGAACTGATAATTTCAAGACAGTGTGGAAAACAAAAGTATCGAAGTAATCCGGGAACCATAAGTGTTAAAGAGTTTTTTGGACAAACGATTTACATTCCATACTTAGATTCTCTAATCGGCTCTTTGGAGAGTCGATTTTGTGAAGCCAATAGTGCACAATTTAACTTAGTATTTCTTCATCCGTCTAAGTTGTGCTAACTGAGTTGTCAGCACTTTAAAGAAAAAATTTCTAAGATTAATAAAGTATACAACATTGATAATTTTGAAACTGAAGCCTTGAGTTGGTTTGATTTTTGGAATGCGCAAGACTACAAAAGTAGCCTAGATTTTATCGATTTACTACCTTTCACACAATTTTATCCCAGTGTCAGGTATGCTTTATTAGTTTTGTTAACTTTATCAGCAACAACATGTACGGTGGAGCGATCGTTTAGCACATTGCGTCGTGCCAAAACATGGCTATGTCAAATGACCGTCTCTCTGGTTTGTGCATGTTAAGCGGATCTTCTAATGATCTGGGGCGGATCTTCTAATGATGCTCTTTCTCTTTTAGACAAGGTGCAAAAACGAATTGTAAACATAGTTGGACCTGCTCTGGCAGCCAATCTCCAACCTTTGTCACATCGTCGTAATGTTGCTTCTCTTTCTCTTTTCTACAAATACTATAATGGGCACTGCTCTAAAGAGCTAGCGTCCCTTGTGCCATCTACTAAAATTCATTCTCGTGTTACTCGCCATTCAATTAAGTCTCATCCTTTTTCTGTGACTGTTCCTAAGTGCTTCAAAAACTCTTATTCTTCTAGTTTTTTTCCTCGAACATCAGTTCTTTGGAATTCGCTTCCTTCATCTTGCTTTCCTGATTCATATAATTTGCAATCTTTTAAGTCATCAGTCAATCGTTATCTTGCTCTACAGATTTAGTCTTTTCTCTTCCAGTAACTTCCAACTCTTATAGTGGTTGCTTGCAGCCAGGGCCGTATCTAGCATACAAAGACTGGGGGGGTGCAGTCGTCAAATTAACCGACAAAAATTTTTCTTGTTTTGAAAAAAGGATTTTTTTTGGAAAAATTTTCAAAATCATAATTGCATTCTTAATTTACTACCTGTAACACGTTAAAAGAAATAAAATATATTTTTTCTGAAAGATTATATCAATTTTACAATGCAAATGAAATTTACAGTATTTCAAAAGCATATACAAACAACAACAAAGTTAACGTATAAAACGCAAAACTGCATAATCAATTATTCAATTTGAATACGTCTTTGTGTTGTTATAGACCATTTTTTTACCAACACGTCAAGGTCTATATTGTCCACTAAATCTTTTTCTGACGCCAACAAAATTAATGACGCCAATCTTGCATCTGACATAGTAGAACGCAAAATATTTTTAACAATTTTTAATTTGCTAAATGTTCTTTCATCGCTTGCAACAGACACTGGTGCTGAAGCCATTAGCTTGAAAGCTTTGAAAACTCCTGGGAATATGTTTTGTCTTTGCCACGACAGTTTTAATTTTTCATTGTTTGTTGGAGCATCAGATTTAGTAAATGTGTTCATAAAAATTTCTAACTCTGCATGAAATAAATGAGCATCTGTATTTACTCCATTATTTGGCATTAATAGGCACAGTTTTTCGACATCTTTTATTGTAAAGGTTTTTGTTGACTGCTGAAGAAGAGAAAATGGTTCAATGCTCAACCATGAAGCCAGTAAATTTTCATTCATTTCGTAAATAAGACAGTCTAACACGCAATTAAGTTGTTGGGTGTAGTATTGATAGATATTTCTAGAACATAGCGTATCAGGATTGTCATCATAGCGTTTTGGAGTTACTCTTCGTCTATGACGATCTTCGTATATTTTTAACGCATCGATTTCATACTTGCTACATATTTTAATTGCTGCATCAATTTCACAATGTACTTCAAATTCTTCTTTTCTATTTCGTTCAAGAGATTGTATTGTAGACAATACAATCATTTTAGCATCTAAAATGTTCAACTCAACTTTCTGCAACTCATCAGTAAGAATCTTTGTTTTTGCAATGACTCCTTTGATAAGCATAAGCATAATGATAAAGTCTGGATTCACGATTTTTTTAAGTATTGCTAAAGCTTGATCCTTTGTTTTCTTATCAAATAAATCGGACTGACTTATTTCATAAAAACATTCAACAATAGATTCCATACTTATCCAAAATGCTTGAATGGATTCTGAACGCGCTGACCATCTAGTTTTTGAAAGATTGCGAAGTTTCAAGGAATTTTCAATAAACTTAAGTTTAGAATTAAGTAAGCTGAATCGTTTAGTACTTGAAGAAATAAATACGTAGCACATTTCAAGAACTTCAAAGACATTTGAAGCCATTTTATTTCTTTTAACCGCATGTTCAACAAAAGTATTAGTTCGATGAGCTTGACATGGAATATAAGGTACAACTCGTTTTAATTTTTCTGAAATTTTTGCATGAACTCCTTTAATGTTGCTGGACATAGAGCTGGCGTAATCATATCCTTGAAACACAACACTATTGACATCAAGTTGAAGGTTATTGATTATCGATATTATTAAATCTGCAATTCCATCACCCGTTTTGTCAGCTACCTCGCATATCTGCACAATTCTTTCTTTAATATTACAGTTATTATCCCCATACCTTACAGCAATTGCTAACTTATCACTGTGTGACACATCAGGAGTTGTATCTGCCATAATTGAAAACATCGATGCTTGGTTAACTTCGGAAACAATTTTGCTTTGAACATCTTGTCCAAGCAAATGAATGAAGTCGTTTTGGGATTTAGCACTCATATATGTCACATGATATTTTCTAAGTTTTATGTTGCTCAACCATCGTTTAAGTACCAAATTATGTCTCGACATAAAATATACCAACTGTCTAAAATTTCCATTTTCATCCCGATCATCTCCACGAAACGCGATTCCTTGCCTACCCAATGTTCGAGCCAAATCAATAAGAACTTTTATAACACACTTATTAGACTCCATTTCTTCTTTTTCACTAATAACAATTTGTCTTTGTTTCTTGTCCAAGAGGAGATTAATATGTTGAGCACTATTACAATAATTGCAATAGTCTAATAATGAAGCTTTATGAGATTTTGATGAAAAATGTTCTGATAGTTTTCCTCTTTTACCTTTCTTTCCTCGACTCTTCATTTTATGCCACGTGCGGATACCGTTTTCAACCCAAGCAACTTCACTATTCTCTCTACCTGGTCCATTTGGAAAGAGACAGCATACATAGCAGAATGCGCTATCTTTAAGTATGCTTTACTCTAAGTGAGGGTATTCTTTGTACCACAATGATGAAAAACGATTTTGCTTCCTTTTGTCAATATCTTTATTGATAGGAAAGTTATTAAGTTTTACTTGATGTGGTCCAAGCTCAATTAGATAGTTTCTTAGATTATCATTTTCAATTTTCGAACGCTGGCCAGGATCATGCGAAAGAAAGAAATTTTTTGTAGTAAGTGTTTCAATATTATCATATTTTCTTTTGTTTAATATGTTTGCAAGAGCTTGGTCATTGGCATCCAAAACATTCTCTGCTGAAATTTTTACCTCAGAAGCAAGCTCTGTCATTTCAATGAGAAGTTTTTCCAAATGTAAATTGTCTGTATTTTTCACTTCATCTAGTTTTAATTCACACTCACTTAAAAGTTTACACAGCTTTGCAAATTTACCCACCGAATCTGAAAACGTAGTTTCTTTTTCCAATAAATTAACATCACTCGGTTGGGATTCTACTAACAGAGTTTGATCACAGAAATCAAAAATTTCAGGCACTGCTAGTATTTCATCATTAGTAATATCAATGTTTTTACTCTCATTTATTATCTCACATTCAATTTCAGATGATTCATTTTCAATTGCTTCAGAGATTTTTGTCAGATTTTCATTGATATTCATTTCCACTTCATTTGTAATGTTGCTTGGGCAAAGTTTTTGGGCATTGAAATTAATTTTAGACAAACTTATTTTGCTGCACGATTGGGAATTTATTGCCGAATTGGTTTCAAAAGGGTTTCGTGGTGCGCCATACTTCTCATAAGGTATCCCTTTATGGTTTCGGATATAATCCAAATGATAAATTCGATTATGTGTCATCCGATAGTCATTATCAAAAATTGAATGTGAACAGTTCTTGACTTTGCATTTGACTTTGTATCTTTTAACACCAGGATGTGGCATCTTGAACCCAAAATCTAAGATAATTACAAATTAAACTAACAAAATATTCGCCTTAAAAAAATATATAAATGATTTAATAAATTTTAAACTTTTTAAAATTTTATTAGTAAATACGTAACTTACAAGTATAAACAAAATAGTTTATTACTTCTTTCGCCAAACTTCCAATACTAGTACCAAATTTCTAATAATAAAAACACACCGCTAACTAAACTTTGATTTCTTCTGTGCAAACATCAAGTAAACAAGTCTCTTGATTAAGATTCTTGCTTTAAAGCAATTAGAAATTGTTGACTAATTACGTAACGCAATTTTTGAGAATAAAAAACGGCAACCAAAAACATGCTTAGCTGAGTTTTATTTGTAATACGCGTTAAATTCCTAAAAAGAATTAGTTTTTTATGCTTTGAAAATTAGCGTTAAGGATGATATAAAAACATTTTTGCAAACAGAAACAGCAAGAAAATAATAATTTTAATATTTTGTCGGTTAAATAGTATAATGGTAAAGTTGTCGGTAAGATTACAATTTATTGTAATCTTACCGACAATTTACCATTGTACTGTTTAACCGACAAAATATTAAAAATCTGGGGGGGTGGACACCCCCCCACACCCCCCTATCGGTACGGCTCTGTTTGCAGCCTTGTTGGAAGTGAAGATGTTAAAAAAAAAAAAAAAAAAAAAAAAAAAGCGCACACAGAGACAAAATAAACTGCAACAATTTGGTATTGATAACAGACGACTCCAGTTCCTGTTTAAAGAATAAATTTGACTTTAAATAAATGTTGTAAACTTTTTTTATGTACTACCTTCACGTCTGAATACCATAACAAAACGCTCAGTAAACTACAGCTAAATTATAAATTTTTTGCCTTTATTTGATATGCTTTTCAATGCTCTATTACTTATAATAAAAATCTTTAATTGCTACTATATTTTGTATATTTATATAGTATCAATTAAAAAAAAAAACTTTATATGGAGGCTCTGTGCAAAGATTACAATGACGTATTATCATCTTCATCTTTTTTGGAGCCAATGTCTGTTTAATTCCTTACATTTAATAAAGATCAATAAAAAAAGTGTGAATATTTTATACACTAAAACGGTGCTGAGAAGTTTAAATTGTCTTCTTTTTTTCCACGGACATATAATTTTTTTCTTCTCTTTATTTTATATCTTACATATCTTGATTTTTACATAATAGATAACAGTAAAAAAAACCAATAACAAAAAATGTTTTGCCCCCTCCTTAGAAAATTTTCTGCGGGCGCCTATGATATATATATATATATATATATATATATATATATATATATATATATATATATATATATATATATATATATATATATATATATATATATATATATATACACATATATATATATATATATATATATATATATATATATATATATATATATATATAAAATTATATATGTATATATATAATTGTTTAAGATTTAAGCAATTATATATATATAATATATATGGGAAAAGTGCCTATGATGGCATACTTAACTTTGAAGCTTCATTATTTAGTATCCTGAAGACCAAGAGCAAAAGTTTTGATATGTATACATTCTTTGTTACATGTAGAACGATAATAACCCTAGCAGTTTTCATCAGCTTTATTTTTTATGTTATTTAAAAAAAAAAAAGCACAAGTATGCTACCATAGGCAACTACTGCTCCTATGATGGCATAGGGGAGGGTAGGGCTAATTAGCATCAAGCATAACTTGACAATTTCATTTGGCCTTAGATTCTTCCCTCAGAAATGCCATACAATACGCGTAATCATCCTAATTAACTTTTTTGTGCTACACAGCAGCAGTGTAGAATTACATGCACGCGCGCATAAGAGATATTGCGTTTTATGTGTTTTTTTAACCAAAAATTTTTTAGTAAAGTAAAAATTTAATTTTACTTTGCTAACAAATGTTTCTTTTTTATGAAAAAAAAAGGTTTTCTCAACTCTTCAATATTGCAACACACCGAACTTGTCAGTATGCCATCATAGGAAGAAGTTATCATTTTCATTTAAATAAGCTATGTCTGTCTTGTTCAAAAGATCAAATTAAAATAAGTATTCCACTAAATGCACAAAACTTGGAAATAAAATGCATGAAAATTTCATTTCTCCACAGTTATAATAAAATCACAAACTCAAATATTTAAAGAGATTAAAATACAACAGCACATCCCAAAATCAATTTTTGTTGATTACAAAAGCAATATTTGTGCATAAGGGACGTATTTTTACTAAAACTAATGTAAAGTCAGTATAAAAATGCTGGTCTAATCATTTTTTCGCCATAACCAATATTTATGAAAATATGGCTGGTATGCCATCATAGGCGTCTTTCCCCTATATACATGTCAATAACTTTGAGCGAAAGTTTAGATTTATAGAGATAAAAATTTTTTTAATTTTTCCATTAGATGCATCAAGGAGCACGACAAAGCCAGTATGATGTCAATCCAATTGATCCAGACGCAATCCTGAAGTTATCAGCAGTCAACCCATTTCAAGACTATTTCAAAGAATCCATTCAGTTTTTAGGACCAGATTGGCCTTTTTTTTGCATCGTCTTCATTTTTGACTTTTTTTAAATGTAAGAAAGTTTAAACAATCAATTATTTAAAAAAATTTTTTATTGACTTATTATAGTATTTCTATGGCATGACAAGTATTGTTTAAAAAATTGAAACTTTAAAATTAAATACACATTTCAACATATTTTTCATGAAACTTTAAAACATATATGAAAAAAAATATTTCTTCCTAATGAGAAATAATAACACCTATTCTTATATTTTTTTATTTTCAGCGGCAGAAATCATTTTTATTGATGCTACGTTCAAAGTGGTGCCAACATCTTTTTATGGTGGATAGTTCCTCAACCTTTTAACTGAAATCCAAGGGGTGACTTTGCCAATTTGTCATATTTTCACATCAAAAGCAGAGATTGTATGTTGCTTCATTTGAAAAGTTAAAAGAACTTATATCCAATTTTGTACCTAGAATTGTCTTATTTTGAACAAGCAATTGGAACATTAACATTTTGTTTTCCTGAAATTAGATTAACTGGCGGCCGGTTTCAATTTGGACAAGCTGTCTTGAAAAAGATAAAGGCTGTAAGTATTCAGGCAGAGTTCATTCATGATATTGTTGAAAAAAAAAGGGAAAAAAATTTCTTGCTATTTGCATGTTACCCTCAAATCTTATTCAAAGTGAGTTGAAAAAACTTAAACTGAAAGCTGAAAAGTTCCCCAGGTTAGAGACAAAAGACAAAAAATTATCTTGAAAGATATTCGATTTTATTAAAGAGTCCCTACTTGTTTTCAGTTTTTGGCCTGAAGTACAGAACCAACAACACCTCAGAATCATTTTACTAAAAAGTTAGCAAAAATATGACAGAATGAGTTTTCCAACCTTAAGCACAAAGTCCCAAGTACAAAGTCCAACTCAAGAACAATTGATAGTCTTTGTAAAGTTTGTTGTGTCCACAGACTTGAAGTTTTAATTTTTATTAATTTCAGAAGTTTTAATTTTATCATGCAGACATTTTGGATTGTGCTCACAATCCAAAGAGATTCTTTTTATGAACACAGATAAAAGGTGTCCAATTTCCCTAACTGAAGTGATTGACTTTATTAATGTTTTTTGTTAAGAATTTTTCCGCAATCGAAAAATGCTCATCACAAAATCCTAATCTCATTTAAACATTGTAACATACTTCTATTACTTGTACGTAATAACTCATTATCACTGAAAATAAATGATTTATTTTCAGTTCTGTTTTTTTTTTTGATGCAAAAAAATATTACTCTAGTATATATATTTTTTTGTCAGTTGGTTCTCAATTAATAAATTTTTAATAATCAGTTGTAAATTGATTTTTCATTAGTCGGTTCTAAATGGATATTTCATTAGTCGATTGTAACTAAAAATTTT